AGTTATACATATTTGAGATAGAATAGACTTTCGAATAAATGACTCTACTCTAAGTCCACAACCAAACAAGGAACAGGAAGTAGAGCAATAGTCATAGATTTTGAGTCTATAATATCTTTAATTATGCATAACCTTGGCGTATGCACTCAGTTATCATAGGCCTACTAATAGAGGTCTTTAGTTTTCACATAAGTTGGTTATAGTATCACCAAATACTCCTATAGTATTTTTAGCTGTTTAGATTCGATTCTTAAAGTATTCTCTGTAGGGTGTAGTTAGGTTGATAGATTTGTGCCCATTATGACTATCCCCCAGTATATGCAAGTCACTCCTCGGACAGATATAGTTGATCAGGCTATATCCTTCCTTCAGACTTGATTTACATATACCAAGGCATACCCATAATGTACAACTCCTCTTCTTTTATTTTATGTTCTTCTAGTTATGACACTATATGAGCATGTATGCATGTATTTATACTTTTTAATAAAAAAAATCATTTATTTTCTAAAAGTATGTTTTTTTGAAAAATGCACAAATCAGAGACTATTAGTCCCAATGTGTTGTAGTTGTATATCTTATGTGGTTGTGATATACTTATTACTATAAACTGTGCTCTGATACCATCTGTCACACCCCCAAACCAAGGATGGCGGAGGACGTCCGTCCGGGGGTGGAGGACTTCATGTATAGTATCATAACAACAATTGTAATAGTAATTCAAGCAAACACAACCAACATATATAATTGAAAAAAGTTACATCATTGTATGAATTACATGTTTACGAATCAATTACAATATGTTGACAAAATATGAATAGTAGACGCCTTAGCGTCCCATCCTCAAAGCACTTGATTACCTGTTTAATGAGTTCCTGAGAATACAAGTTGTTTTGAAAAAGTGTCAACACAAAGGTTGGTGAGTTCATAAGCTTTTGTTTGGTATATTAAAGCCTTTCGTTTGTGAAAGTAGTATTTGTGTTAGAAAATCCAATATTTTCCTTAATGTGTAAATGTAGTCTTAAAACCCAAAGACCGAAATGTACAAGTAATTTGTCATATTTATAGTAAAACAATGCAAGTTTAAATCGACATAAACTCGTTAAATTTTAATGAAGTTCACGTAAATTCCAATGTTTATTAATACTTTATGTGAGTTATTATATAACATGCTATGACCTAGTTGGCCTGAAACGACGTTCTTCAGGCGTCGGAAATGTTATGACATTTGTCACCCCAGACCTGCCGGTCTAGCTGTTGCATGCAGCTTAGGTGTGGTTTGTCAAACCCAATATAGATCTATACACAAGTATCACGCTCTCCCTCAAGGAGACTCTGGTTACAATACAGGACTTAATGGTAATTTGAAGTAAATGTCTCACAAATTAATTAACGGAATTACGTGTTATGAAAACTTGGTACCGTATGGCCGTACCTTGCTTAATGAAATATCCTTTGTATAAATGTACCATTTTTTTAAATGTATGTGTTATGTAATGTATCATAAACTATACCTATTATAGTTTATCAACCAAGGGTAGTACGTAGTAATGTATGCAAACTATATTTAAAATAGTTTATTAAATGTTTGAATATATCGGTTGTACTTTGATTATAATCACTTGTATTCTTTATATTCAATATGTCCAAATCCATTGTAAACTGATGTGTGTCCATTATTAAGATAAAATGACATATATTGCAATAACATATATCATATAAAGATATACACCTTGCTCAACATGTTACAAGGTGAAATGAAATTGACAGCAACTTTTTGTTGAAAACAGTTTCTGTTACTGTTTTTAGAAAATTTATAGAAAAATCATCAAAGCTCCAAATCCAAATCCGAAAATTTTGAGAGTTTGGAATATGAGTCTAGTTTGTTTGTAAATTTTATCAAGATTTTTAGTGATCTCTAACAGAGGTGAAAATGTCCATATCACAGACTGGTCCGGGTTTGCCTCTGAAATGACAGACAGTTTTGTAAAAATCACCATAAATTGTAGAAAAATCATATGGAGATGTGCAAGTATCCATTTTAAAGCTAAGAGTTTGAACTACTTGCACCTGGAACAGTTTTGAAAACTAAAATATTTAAGTTGACCAAAACAGTCCGTGATTAAAGTCCATCTTTCTGATGTAATCTGTTAGAAAAAGTTTAATTGTGTTCTTGATGATTTTACTTGTATTCCCCCCTTAAAACTTAAGAAAAACATGTAAATGTAGGGGGTATGAACTCACCCTTGAAGCGTGAGTCGAGTTCGATTCGCACGGTATTCGGGTTCTTTTGGGAAACTTGTCGTGAGATTTGTTACGTGACATTCTTCGTTCGTACCACGATTCACCGTGTATCTTTATATTTCAGTCGTAGCGTGAACTCGATCCCGGTTCTTTTGGTGAAGCTTCACGTGAGAATCGTAATTTAGTAATTCTTGAGCTTTGAAACACTCTGGGGACCGTTTGTATTAATTTAACAAAAAGGCAGCGTTTCGGTATTTCTTGACAAATGGGGGGTGTTTAGGGAAGTAATAATTGACAAATGGGGGTTGTTTAGTAATTTCCTTAATCACCGGTGACCAGATTTGATCAATTTTTACAAATGGGGTTTATTTTGATATACTTGGCATTTGTAGGGGGCTGATGTGGATAATTCTCACAACAAAAGAATTGGGGGCTTTTGCCCTTTATTTGCCCGATCGATTCCAAAAGGAGAACCAGTCGGGAGCTTCGGGTGCACGGGACTGCACATGGAGACAACATGAAGGGCGGGAGTGGAGGCGACCGAACACAAAACCGAAAACATCGGAATCACACCATCGCCGCCCGGCTCCGACGTCCCTGTGGATCTACCCCAGTCGATCGGCTCCTCCGGATCGTGGAACGACCAGCACCGGAAACGAGGCAGCAGCCGCAGACGAGGTTCAAGGAGACGGGGAAAGATCGAGCAAATCTCATGTAGGGGCGCTGGCCGATGGCGATCGTCGGCGTCTTTCTTTTGTTTGTTGTGGTTGGAACGGACGGAAGCAAGCAGCGACTAGGAAGCGGTCACCGAAAGGAAAGGGCAGGGGTTGAATCGGGGAGTTATTATCGGTACTTAATTTGGCCGGAGAAGGGAGGAGATCGGCGAAAAAGGGAGAACACGCGGATAGCAATCTCGGCGATCCGTTAATTTGATTGAGCCGTCGCTTCGTCTGATCAGGAAGGAACACAAACTGAAATTGAAGGCGACAATCGGTGGGGTCTTGATCCATCATCTGATTCGAGAGGAAAGGATAAGTATAACCGATAGTAGCAATCCCTTCCTTCCTCTTCTCTGGATGCAGTAGACCGGAAACAACCCGCAACAGCAACAGTCGACGGTGGCTAACAGGTAAAGAAAGTTCTTTTTCTCTTTTCCGTTGTGGATTGAAATCGATGGGGGGGGGGGGGTATTTGAGATGTTGTTCTTGGTTATTTTTATTGAAAATTGATGAATGGTTGATTATTTTGATAAGAATCGATGTAGGGAAAAATGTTTGGTTTGGTTGTTGACAGGAATTGTTAGGTTGTTTGGGGTTGGGTGATTCAAAGAAATTGAAGAAGGGAAAAACAATTGTTTTGTTGTTTCATTTGACAGATAAGTTGAAGTTATACACGAATTTAAGAACCAAGTGTTCTTACTGGAAACGAGTTATATAGAAGAAAAGAATATGAATTGGGTTGTTTGATGGTTTGCAAGAAACAAGGAGAAAAAGAATTGAGTGTGCTGGAATCACGGAAGATGATTTACAGTTGCCTCAATTTGACAGCTCACATAATTGCTATATATTTGAATACTTGTAAATTTGTTAAATATTTGTTAGTGTATAATGATAATGGTTATATTTGAAATTGTAAATGGTTATATATTTGAATAATTGTAACTTGTTATATATTTGTTAGTGTATAATTTATTTCGAATATATATACATCATATATTTAACTTGTATTAGATATTTTCCAAAATTAAGTTAACACAATCACACACACACACACATTTATATATATATTATATTATATATATATATATAGATATAGTACATAATTATATATATATTATATAGATATATATATATATTATATTATATATATATAAATATATGAACTTATATATATAATGAGGACGTAACATTTATTAATTCGTTAAATCTCGGTTGGTTTAAATTAGAAATACAAACACATATACTTAATAGACCCCAATTTACGTGCCATTGGTCTTTATTGGATAACGGCTCACGGGGGTTTGATCGTCGAACTCTGACCGAATTTTACCGGTTTTTACATTATCCCCTATTGAAGGGAATTTCGTCCCGAAATTTAAGAAAGGAGTACCTAAGAGAAAAGTTGTTGTGGGTTTTCGGTACCAGTTTTAATTTATTACGATATTAGATAATATGTTTGGACTAGTTTTGTGAAAATTTGCCCATTGGGTTTGCTAATTATTTTTCAAACTATATGACGAGTAATATAAATTTACAAATATGTATAGGTTCAAAAGGATTTTATCAGATTTGAGGAATTATTTCAACCAAATGAGTTGTGTAAATTAAACTTAGCTTTGCTAATTTTATCGGTGAAATTAAAAATTCTTAGTTTACTATACGAAAGATTTTGATTGATCATCACCGTCAAAAACCACTTAGGATGTTGAATGATGTATACCGTCGTGGTGAACATACGATGCTTTGATTAGGGATAATCGACTACAAGATAAGTTTTGTATGGATGAAAAATATATATGGACTTGTTTATGGTTTACAATATTGTTAGGTTTTCACATTAGTGGAATGAAGTTGTTTGATAGCGATGAGAATGATTGATTTTTCACTTTGCTGATATGTGGAATAAGGGTTCATATCTTTCTTCGTAAATTTAAAATGCTAAGCCAGACAATGTTAGAATTATAACAGAGAAGGGAACTGAATACAAAACATGTTTCTCTTCCAGATGTTATATATGTATGATTAAAACTAGATTGTCTACCTTAATGAATCTGCAACATCACTAAACCTAATTCTTACTCAAACATTAAATTTAAAATCTGAAACACAAAAGAAATTTACATAAATATTGGTAGTAATGTCAAAGTATGATGTTTACAAAGAAGTTATATGAGACGTAACTACTAATGATGTCAAGTTTTTATTTTATTACAATGACTTGTTGTTATCATGAGAGATGAAGTATGTGCCCAAATGAGATGCAACTGTCATATTTTCGGGGAAACAAAGTTGTTGTGCTAAAACGTGATACAAGATTTGTTGCTAAAATGAGATACACGATTTGTTGCAGAATGAGATACCAGATTTGTTGCTAAAATGAGTATACAAGATTTGTTGATTAAAACGTGATGTAATGTAAGACTCGTAGATGTACCAAGTCCCCATTCATGAGTTCATAACCCCAGCCTAATGACCGAATTTGTGCCCTGTGCTACTATGTGTATCAAAACATTAGTGTATAAAATGGTAAAATGCACTCAAGCGAATCGTGCAAGTGAGGATGTGTCTACTTCTGGCTAGCGTTATCCTGATGACCATATACTCAAATGAGTTAATGATTAGTGTGAACTGATTCCAGGGACTTAAATGTATAAGACCTCATGAATTGATACTAGCATAACATACAAAGCAGCTTATAGCAACCAAGTTTATACGAGTCAAATAATTATAACGAACGTAAGTAGTTAGCTACGACAAGTCATGTTTCTTTTGCATGATTGAAGACTTGTAGTATGCAGTGAAAAGAATTTAATCTGAGGTATATGGAACTGATACGTCGCTTCAAAGTCAAGGATTTGCAGGGTAGACATGTGAAGCATTAAATGCATGCGGCACACAAGTTAAGATTTTAGCAGTATATACTTATCGTGTGTGAATGGAAGAAGAAAGTACGGCTCAAAGAATATATATATATTCATTTTCTCTTCATTTGTTAGATACACAATAACCATAACATCATAGACTATATATATTCATTTCATTTGTAATTTTCACTAGTTTATATTCCGCGAGTGTTACCGAAATCATTTATCAATTTTTCAGAAGTGCTTAACTTGTTTTGTTGCATCCCAACAATTTGCTTATAATTACTTCTCCCACTTTACTTAATAAACTATCACATTCTTACCGCGACTTTTAACTCTCTCCCTCACAAATGGATCCACCGCAGATCATCAAAACCCATAGATGACCTCGATTGGTTTCAGTACTTTGATCATCAAGATCTTTTCAGGTATATATAAACGTCACTCATTACACCATCTTACGCACAGAAAAGTGATTTTGTCGACATTTATCAAAACATGGGTTTGGATTTGTAGTGATCAAAAAGAGTATTTCATCGTGTTGGATTTGATTATCTTGAGTTTTTTTTTTTTTTTTTTTTTTTTTTGGATTTTTGCAGTGGTGAC